TATATATATATATATATATATATATGTAATAACTGAGACAGTGGTGTGCCTGGCTCAACGAGCATCGTGATTATTATATTTATTGAAATTTCTTTAACGATAAAGAAGGAACATTAGATAATAGGAGGAAAATCATAAAAAGAAAAAAGAAAAAAGAAAAAGAAAAAAGAGAAAAGTATTGATAAAATATTAAATGAACGGATAATATCCGATGATAGCTTTTCTCCGTGATCTTTTTCATTAATTTTCCCGTTTTGTGTGCAATATTTATCGTGGACTGTGATCCTTTCTAACGGGAAGAAAGAAAGAAAGAAATAAATAAAGAAACAAATAAATAAATAAAGAAAGAAAAAAGAATCCTCGTTATTTCTATTAAGAAGAAATCGGAAAAAAAGAGAAAAAAAAATCAGGTAAGTCAGCAGGTGACATTTTGTCGTTATTTCCTTCCTTCCTTCCTTCCTTCTTCTTCCTTCTTCTTCTAGCATTGTCTCTTTGTCCTTGATGACTTCATCCCTTACAAAGCTTACTTTGCAAGCTATATGGGGTAATAGTAAAAGTACTTTGGAAATTTATGTTACGATTTTGCTATAGTAAATGTAATCAATATTTCATATTTTATCGGGTATCACGTTAAAATGATATCATTTTTGTGAAATAATTGTTCGATAGTTAATACAATTATAAATTGAAATAATCAATGATTAATTGGTTTTTTTTTATAAATTTTTTTTTCTTTTTTTTTTTTTGATTAGGAGATAATTGGAAAATATTTGAACGCATGTCTTCCCCTTTCTCTTTCTCTGCGTTTAGCAAAGGGCGGGGTAAATTTGACGATACCGAAAGACTGCATGCGAGAAGCTTGTGTGTTATGTTGTTGCAGATCAATGTAGGAAAAGGAAGAACAAAAAAAATGTCGATAAAATATACATATATATATTCCATATTCTTATTCGAATAAATTTCTATTTTATATCAATGTTATATCAAATATATTATTAATTTATGAAAAATATAAAATAATATTCGCAATATTTTCTATAATAATAACAATATTACATTTATCGAGAATTTGAATTTAAATAAATTTAAGGCAATATAATTTAAACGAACATTATTTATATTCAATTAGATCGTGTGAATTTTTTTTTTTTAATTTAAAATAACAAAAAAAAAATGAAAATTAAAAGAAAAATAAAGGAAAGAGAAAAAAAATATAATGAAATCGATTCGTATGGATTAAATTTTTCCCCGCAATTATAATCAATTTTTCATGAACGTGTTCTAATTTGATTATCGCGATAAAAAAATAAGAAGAAAAAAAAAACATACGTAGTATTATAGTTTAGGTAGTATCCTTTTAATCCGAGATAAACAAATCGTGACGTATCTAGTTTTCATAGATACCGGCAGCATTGCCGTTGATCGATCTTGTAGGTTTCAGGGTTATGTTATAAGGTCTCTCTCTCTCCTTTCTCAACTCGAGTGGAACTTTCAGTTTTTTAAGCTAAAATAAAAAATAAAAAAAAAACAAAAAAAAAACAAAAGAATAAAAAAGCCAATATAATATATTTTCGATATTATTTTTATATATTTTTTTTTGCGAAATAACATTGTATTTCTTTTTTTCTTTTCTTTTGTTTCTTGTCGTTTTCTTTTTTCCTCTAACAATCGATGCAAATAATTAAATAAAACAACACTTTGCAATCGATTATACAAATATAAAAGTTAAATATGAATAATTAATTTTTGTTCGTTAGTTAGAAATTAATATTTAAATAATGCATGAATTATTAATAATTCACGCATTAATTTTTTTTCGCAATGAACGCGTATGATTCATAAGATTTATATATATATATATGTTATTAGATATATGATTTACCATTGATAACTGACTCTTCGTAATATCTGGTATATGACCCTCTTAGCTTGCATTAAAGTCTCCTGTTAATATTTGTTTTTACATCTTTTACCTCTTTTTATTTATTCATGCACGATTCTTCTTTACTTTTTACTTTTTTACTTTCTTTTTTTTATCACACGCAAACATGTAACATATAGCTATTGTCTTACTTGCTTATATATTTATAAATTATAACACATTGTATAATTATAAATGAAATAATAATAATAATAATAATAATAATAATAATAATAATAATAATAAAATGATAAAATTATTTTTTGTAGAAAAATGAAGCTCGATTTTATGGACCGTGAAAAGGGGTTGGAGCTTTTTGGGAAATTAATAAGAACAAAAAATATCGACAGTTTGCAAGGTGAACAAACGAAAACGAGTCCAGAAACATTGAATACAGCTGATCAAAAGCAGAAATTACAGGTAAATATATATCTATGTATATACATTTATACATCTATATAGGTAGGTAGGTAGGTAGGTAGGTGGATGAATATATATGTATGCGTGAGCGTATATTTCTTTTTTTCTTGTATTTTTTTCTTAATTAATTCCAGCTCTTGAGACAAATTGCAAATGAATTTATTTATCGAGAGCAAGGAAATACTATGAATTAATTACTTATCAAAGTCAATTTGTTATTGAATAAATTAAACATGAACGTAAAAAATAAAGTAAAGTAAAGAAAGTAAAGAAAAAGAAAGGAAAAGAAAAGAAAAGAAAAGAAAAGAAAAGAAAAGAAAACAGAAATATTAATAATTTATATCGCAAATCGATTTATAAATAGAGTTCTAAACTGACTTTTTGAGTTGATAGATTCTTAGACCTACATACTTTTAGATCTATGCGCGGCGTATCGAGGTATACGACGTGCCATTCGCACCACTACGTATTGATCTCGGTTTATTTTTAACCGAAATCTTTCCTTTTTTTCTTATTTTTTTCTTTTTTTTTTTCAATATCATTTATTATTGGGCAATACGAAAAATTAAAGTCCGAGACGCATAATAGTAGCGCGTAAACCGTGAAATCAAATCTCATATGTCACGTATCATATTTGCTATTTGTCGATAATAATAATAATAATAATAATAAGATAATAATAATAATATAATATAATATATATAACATAATTTATAATATTATATATATATATATATATAAACCCTTCGGGGAAGCAGTAAAATGTATCTATCTATCTATCTATATTATATATATATTATATTATAATATTTATATTATTATATTTATATTATAATATTTTATATTATATAATATATATATATATATATATATATATATACATTATATATAATATAAAATAAATTAAATCTATATTATTTATATATATAATAAATAATAATATTACAAATAAATATATTATAATAATATTAATAATAAGATAATAAATAGGTTTTATAATGTCAAACCAAAAAAAAAGATACTACAAATATATATAAGTATAAACTATTAAAATAAAATAACGTAGTAGTATTTATATAAATATTTTAGAAGTGTCTGACTACTCTGGACCTGACGTCTTTAGGAGTTGGTTCCTGCGTCGGAACGGGGATGTACCTAGTCGCAGGAATGGTTGCACACAGTGTTGCTGGACCTGGCGTAGTTATATCATTCATAATTGCTGCTATTGCATCCATTTTTTCTGGTAAATCATTGAGAGAAATCATGTGGAGGGAAAAGAAAAATGAATTTCTTACTCATCTTCTTCAATTCCACAATCCAAATCTCAATCCCAATTCCAATAACTTTGAATCTAATTGAAATTATTGTACGACTTCAATTTTAGGTGCATGTTATGCAGAATTTGGAGTTAGAGTACCACACACAACTGGCAGTGCTTATATGTACAGTTACGTGACAGTAGGAGAACTGATAGCTTTTATTATCGGTTGGAACATGGTACTCGAATATTTGATAGGTACGAGTGCCTGTGCTTGCGCCCTTAGCGCTTGCTTGGATGCCCTATCGAATGGTGCTGTCTCAGGAGCTATAGCTAACAACATTGGTACTATATTTGGTGAGTATAATTTTTTTTATTTTATTTTATTTCTTTCTCGTGATATTCTTCAAACATTTCTTATTTTCCTTGTTAATTTATTTGTATTTCTTGTTTTGATTAAAAGAGGAAAGGAAATAAGAAGAAAAAAAAAAACAGAAAAAAAATCAAATAAATCGTAGGCATCGTTCGTATTGAAATTTCATTAATTGTAAGATCTGTCAGTAGCACGTGTCCTCGAAGTAAGAGAAATCGATTGGGGAAAAAGCTATCTATGTACCTTGCCCTGAATCCTACACCTTACCTATCCCTATCGTACTAACAATTAAGTACTCTTTCAGTCGTCTTCTTGACCTCCTTTTAAATAATTTAATACAACGAAAGATGAATTTTCTATGAAAGGACAATTCGTTTAAGAGAACATTTTTCTTTTTAATATATCTTTTTTTTTTTTTTAAACCATTTAACAACAGTGATTATCTCATTTCAATTCGAACTACTTTATCTCCTTATCGATATTCTCATTCAAATCGTTAACGCGTCCTTAACTCGATACAGTTAGAGAATCGTGTAGTAGAGTAAGAAAATAGGTAAAAGGTTTTGCTCCAATTATTGTTCACCAAGCTTTACACACTCGACCGCGATCTGTAGGAAACGAGAGAAGTTATCAAGCGAAAAACACGTGCCACGAATCACGCGTGTTAGCATCACATATACTATACATGTATAAATATTTACACCTACGTACCCTTATATATATATATTTATTTTATAACTATATATATAACTATAACTATATATATAGTTATAAAATAATATAGTTCATAAAATATATATATATATATATATATAGGCGTTTAAATAGTGACCGCGTATTTATTCATACGAATATAAAAGATTTTCTTTATATAAAGAACATAGAGAAGTGAAACACTACTCTCTCTCTCTCTCTCTTTTTTTCTCTTTTGTCTTCACGTTTATATATATATATTTATATCATCATCGTATTATACTATATCCATATTACGTGCAATTGAATTAGTTTTTCGTGCACTCATAGTCATAAAGACATGCGAATCGTGGGCAGAGGAAATAAGTGAAGGATAAAGGGTAGGGGAGGATAAACGACAAAAGGGATAGATGGGTAAGGGCGCTTGCGCGGATCTAGTTTACGGCACCTGTGGACCTCATCGATCCAAACTTAGTTCCCAAACGAAGCACACACTCGGACGCTTTTTGACCTATCCACCTGTGTCACGATGAGAGCTTTCTTTCCTTTGTTTCACTTTTCCTCTTTTCATTCTGTATATACTGCCTTTTTCTTTTGTTTTCTTTTCTTTTTTCTTCTTTGATATATCTCATTGGGTCCGGGACTAATAGGAATAAAATGATACTACTCATCGATGAACAGTCTCAATCCAATTGGGATTAATTTGATGTTACAACATGATAGAACATATTTAGTAATATGATTATCATTATTATCAATATTAGTTATAATTATGTTTAATTTATAATTGAATATGTATTTTTTTTTGTTTTTTGTTTCTCTATCGTACCAGAACGACCACCTGATTGCCTAGCCTTTATCATAACGATATTGATGATGTTACTGATGGCAGCTGGGGTTAAAAAGTCTTTGGTGTTTAATAACGTACTCAATGCAATTAATCTAGCAGTATGGGTTTTCGTAATGGCTGCTGGTATGTTCTATGTTGACTCGAATAATTGGTCCGAACACAAGGGATTTCTTCCATTTGGTTGGAGTGGGGTAAGAATAAAGAGAAATGAGGGCTTTTAATCGTAGGATATAAAAAATCAGACATATTTTAGTCTGATATATATTTATATATCTATTTGATTTGTCGTTTATTATTTGTAGGTATTTACAGGAGCGGCAACATGTTTTTACGCGTTTATTGGTTTCGATATAATTGCAACTACCGGGGAAGAAGCAACTAATCCTAAACGAAGTATTCCTCTAGCGATAGTTTCTTCGTTGATAATTATTCTCATAGCTTACGTTACCAGTAGTATGGTATTGACTCTGATCGGTGAGAAAATAATAATAATAATAATAATAATAATAATAATAATAACAAATAATATTAAGTAATAGTAAAAAAAAAAAATGAATAATAATAATGTTATTTTAATTAGTACCATACGAAGAAGTTGATCAAGATTCCGCATTGGTCGAAATGTTCGGTCACGTTGGTGCATATAAATGCAAATACATAGTAGCTGTAGGTGCATTAGCTGGTCTCACAGTGTCCATGTTCGGCAGTATGTTTCCAATGCCTAGAATAGTTTATGCCATGGCTCAAGATGGCCTCATTTTTCGGTAAAATAAATTTTATCCTTTATTATATTATCTAAATAATTATTTAACCCTTTTCGGACGTATTCAATTTAGACATGGGTGTCGCGTAGTGGTTGGAATTAATTTATATATATATATATATATATATATATATATACATATACAATATATTTATTATGTAAAATACATATTATGTAAAAATACATATAAAATATATATATAAGATTAGCACACGGTTTTTGTGTAGTGGCTGAGAGCAGACATACGACCAGAACGCTAGTAAAAAGGTTTTAGTAGCTGAGAGTGGACACGCATCCGAAAAGGGTTAATAATAATTAATATTATAATCAATACAAATTTTCTTTAATGTTAAATATACATATATTTTTTTATTATAGAACTTTAAGCCACGTATGGCCAACAACTGGTACTCCAGCATTAGCCACATTAACATCTGGTCTTTGCGCTGCATTCGCAGCATTATTAATACAATTAGAAGTTTTGGTAGAAATGATGTCGATCGGTGAGATAATTAAATAATTAATTAATCAAATTAATTGTCGAATCATTTTATAATCAAACTCTTATATGAGCTGTTTATTTTGAAATTGGGTTAAGTACGTTTATATTTGAATCGAGATATTGAAGGATTTATCGTTGGATTAAATTTAAAAATATGGATAACATAATAATGTTTTTGGGTTGAGTTAAAGTATTTCATTTATTATCCCAATTAGCATAATTAATATTATTTAAGAAATAATATGTATTTGATGGCTATGATTGGATTTATGTAACTTTCAAAATAAACGGCTCATACGTTTATTTGAAGAAAGAATATTTTTAGAAATGTTTGTATATTTTTGTTTAAAAATACAGGTACCTTGTTAGCGTATACTCTCGTATCTACTTGTGTCTTAATATTACGGTATCAACCGCATACAACCAATTTAGTCGAACTTCTTCCACAAAGTCTCCGTACACCGTGTCGTTCTCCAACTAAAGAAACTCAAGTAAACGGACAAGTAACTTACGGTAAAGAACTTAGACCTGATCAATTGACAACTGCATTGAATACTGCTCAAGTAACTCAACCAGAGTTAATGACTACTAATAATGGACAACGTATCATGGTAAATATATTATACTATATGAAATTATTATTTAACACTTTCCGTGTCACGGCAAGTTTTGAAGATTTTCCATTAGTTCCGTGTGGGGCGTATAGGACCCCCAACACTTTAAAGATTAAATAAAGTTGTTTAGGACGTGTATGTTTATTACATTTTTTCAATATTACAAAGCTATAATTGTTAGTAAGAAAAAGATATAAATTTGAATATGCATTGGACAACAAAGGAAAATAATTTCCATTTTTAAGGAATTCTTGATTTTTCAATGAGAATTTCAAGTGACCTGAACGAAAAGTTCAGCAGCGGGAGTTGTATACACCCCACACGGCACGGAACGTGTTAACTGTAAAAATCAGACCAAACAAATATAACAATATGTTGCAAATGCATTTGTTTAGGTAAGACGGGTCAGAAGGTGTAATAGTTCCTCTCCAGATTCTGACGACACTTATGGCGCGGAAGAAGACGAAGTTGGTTTGGGAAAAGACGATCAATATTTAGTTAGCGATAGAACGGAAAACAAATTTTACGGTAGTGTTCATGCGGCGGCAGCCGCTTCCAGTTGCGGAAGTACGCATCAATATCCTGGAAATACACCAATCATAGGACCGCCTTTAAATTATTTACAACGCCGATTACAGGTAATACTCTAAAAATATTTTAGAAATTATATTTCTTTTGGCGCGTTATGGAAAAAGTTAATTTTTACGATGCGAGCGCATAGAGACACGAAAACAATTTAACAGTATGAAGTTAGTTGATAGTTGATTCGATATATTCGATATATCTCTTTTATTTCGTATTTCTATACAAATAAAAATTGTTTTTATTTATTTTTTGTTTCTTTATATTTCAATGTATCGTATAAAAGAAAAAGTAATGGGTTTTTTTTTTGTTAAGGCTGCACAATATCTCTGTCCTGCCATATTTCCATGGGTGGATAGAGGACCCGCCACCGAGGCATCGGGTCATTATGTCATGAAATTAGTCGGTATCTTGTATTTATTAATTTTGATCTTCGATATTATCATTGTATGTAGAATGGGTGAGTAATTGTTTATATCTAATTAAATTTTTATTCGGTCACAATAACTACTATCTAATAATGTTGTTTTAAATATGATTCAAGGTGATATAGGCACTTTTACAACGATAGTATTGTTCGTATTGTTTTTCGCGATTGTTGGAATACTTTTGGCCATAAGTAGGAAACCGCAAAACAGGTGATTATGATCTACAAAATTTAAACTGTTATCAATAGACAAATATGACGATATATAATTTCAAATGAAATCATTGTAATCGTGCGATATTATATTTATTGCAGAAACACTTTAATGTTCACAACACCGGGATTACCATTTGTTCCAGCCATTGCTGTAACTGTTAACATTTACCTCATCTTCAAACTTAGCATCTTGACTTTAGTTAGATTTACAGTTTGGATGATACTTGGTATGTGTAATATATATATATATATATATATATATATATATATATACATAAAAATAAATATCACTTTTTTTTTGTTACGTCTCTTCTTCTTCTTCATCTTCATTTTTTTCTGTCTATATATTTCTTTTTGTGTAAATATTATTATTATTATTATTATTATTATTATTATTATTATTATTATTATTTCTTACACAAATACTGGAATCATAGAGACGTGACACGCTCTTAAATGGCTAGAGTAATTTATATTTATACAAATTATTTGTATGTGTATATATATATGTTTGTGTTTGTGTTTAAATGAAAAGTAATTGAATTATTTGAGGTAAGATGTACAACGAGTGTCACTTAAAATCCTACATCCATTATTAAATAATAAAGTTTAAAGGGTGTACGATTTTAAGGGACACTGGCTGTATGTTAAGTATTTGTAAGCTTAAAGATATAGGATATTAGAATGTATATTAAGCTACGTTACATTCCTTTTTTTTTTCTTCTTTTTTTTTTGGGAAAGACTAGATTTAGGCAAGACAGTTTTGTAAGTATATTCTCTTTCATTGACTCACACATTTATACTAGTTCACTCTTTTCTTAAATACATGTACGCACTTTTCCTCTCTCTCTCTCTCTCTCTCTCTCTCTCTCTCTCTCTCTCTGTCTCTGTCTCTGTCTCTGTCTCTTTCTATTTCTCATTCTCTCTCTCTCTCTCTCTTTCTTTCTTTCTATTTATTTCGATCTATCTATCCTCTTCTTTCCAATCATTCACTCATCATTCACAGTCACTTTCTCTACTCTCCCCCATTTCTTTCCTTTTCATTCTCTATTTCACTTTCACTTTTTACTGTCGTATTACTACCATTGCTTTTTTTTCATCTCATCTCTTCATCTTTATCTTATTTGATATATATA